GTCGCCGATGCATCGCCGACGTCGCCGGTCCACTGCTGGCGCATCGCCGATGCATCGCCGATGCATCGCCGATGCATCGGCGATGCGGCGCGATCCTCCGACCACATCTACTCCGACCCCATCTAGGAGGCCTCTACATGAGGTCGAGAGGTCGAGCGTTGCTTCCAAGCTCTTGGGCGAGAGGCGCAGTGGCTTGAAGCTTGAGTCTCCCTTCACCTTGGCGCCAGAGTGCGTACCTTAGGCATTTTTCCGGATGGGCTGTCAAAGACTTGGGAGGGCGAATCGAGTTTGCGAGTCCCTGTGTGAGAGGCAGAGAGGCTTGAAGCCTGTTCCCCTCCATACGAGCCGTCTTTTTCATCACGAGGAATCTCTCTCCTTGAGAGCTCGTGCCGCCAATCGCAAGGCGCCCCCTTGCTAATTCGGTGTGCCGGCTTCGACGCTAGTCGTTTTGAGCTCGCCTTCACCACGTTGCGTTGCGCATTCGCGTCCAGTGTGCCGACCGCTGGCTGCAACGCACTCTACCATACCATTGCCGTGGTTTTGGCACCACCCAGACATGACCCATGTTGCGCGTGCGCCTACTTACGACTGCATGGAGAAAACAGGAATTGCATGTTGTGCGCTGTTCGATGTATGGGTGGATTTGTCCGAGCCTTTTGTCCGGCTGGTTCACTTTTATATTAACAAGGAAGACGCGGCGATATTTTCAGACGAACTTTCGCGTCGCAAAGGCGATAATCACATTTGACCCCCCTTACGTCCGTGTACAAGTGGAGATTTTCAAGACGAGTGGACGCGGTGCCAAGGCGAGAGTCACATGTTGAAAACGACCTTCTCCATTCCCTTTGAAACCGCTGTGGCGATGACGATGACGATGACGACGACGATGTGGATAATGAAGAAGATGATGAGAATGATGAGTACGATGAGGATGATGCGGACGATACTGATGATAATGATGATGATGAAGATGGAGATGATGATGATGATGATGATGATGATGATGATGATGATGATGATGACGATGATGATGATGATGATGATGATGATGATGATGATTATGGTGATGGTGATGTTGATGGTGATGACGATGCTGATAATGATGATGCTGATGATGCTGCTGCTGATGATGATGATGATGACGATACTGATGATGACGACCCTGAGGATGATGTTGCTGTTGCTGTTATTTCTGATGATGATGATGATGATGACGAGAAGTATGCTGCTGCTGCTTCTCATGATGATGCTGATGGTGATGATGATGCTGATTATGCTGCTGACGATAATGAGGATGATGATTCTGAACATGATGATAATGATGATGTTAATGATCATGATGACGATGCTGCTGATGATGATTATGATGATGATGGTGATGACGATGCTGTCGTTGTTGATGCTGATGCTGATGATGATGACGAGAATAATGATGATGCTGCTGATGATGCTGAAGATAAGGACGACGATGACGATGACGATGGTGATGCTGATGAAGATGCTGACGCTGATGATGATGCTGCTGATGATGATGATGATTCTGATGCTGATGCTGATGATGACGCTGATGATGCGGATGATGCTGTTGCTGATGATGGTGATGATGATGGGGTGGTGGTGATGATAACAATGATGACGACGATGATGATAATGATGATGCTGATGTTGAAGCTGATGCTGGTGATGATGCTGCTGATGATGTTGCTGCTGGTGGTGATGATGATAATGATGGTGATAATGATGTTGACGATAATGACGATGCTGTTGATGATGGTGATGATGATGATGACTGATAATGATAATAATAATAATAATAATAATGATGATGATGATGATGATGATGATGATGATGATGATGATGATGATGCGGATGATGATGACGCTGCTGATGATGATGGTGATGCTGGTGCTGATGCTGATGCTGATGATGATAATGACGATTCTGACGAGATGAGAATGACGATGATGTCGACGATGATGACGCTGCTGATGATGCTGCTGCTGCTGATGATGATGATGATGATGACGATTCTGACGAGATGAGAATGACGATGATGTCGACGATGATGACGCTGCTGATGATGCTGCTGCTGCTGCTGCTGCTGATGATGATGATGATGATGATGATGATGCTGATGATGGAACGTAAGAGGAAATGGTGATGGTTCCGCTTTACGGTAGACAGCGCAAACAGAGGAGATGCCATCCGCCGACCAAGGTTCAGCTGGGTTGCCACCGAAGTTCTGGCGAGCAAACGAACCCGCGAAGGCTTTCCCGGCATGCCTGGAAATAGGCCAGGGCAGATACACCGACCGCCCATAACCGCATGCCGATGAGAATAAAGTACCCCCCCTTAAGTCGTTAGAGTTTTTTATCGTCGACCAATAAGAGTTTGGTCGGGGGCGCGGGGGCGCGGAGGCCGAACTTCATTATCACGGGAAAGTTCGCCATCGAAGTTACTTCCTTCTTATGTTGAGATAACAACATCAAGCGAAGCGAACACGTTGTTTCAGGATGTCTCAAGCGAAACCAATGTCCTTCTGTCTCTTTGTAGTTCTTTCTGTCTCTCTTTCTTTCTTTCTTTCTCTGTCTCTCTCTCTCTCTCTCTCTCTCTGTCTCTCTATCTCTTTCTCCTTCCTGGCCTCTCTGTCTCTCTCTCTCTGTCTCTCTATCTCTTTCTCCTCCTCCTCCCCCTGGCGCCCTGAACTTGTTTATCGCTGGGGTTGATTATCCAGGGAAAACGAGGCACGTGAGCTACCCTACACGAGCACTTAAAAATTTTAAGTTTCATAAAGCGCTTGTAAATAAAATCTAATACATTTGAACTTGAGATTTTTCCTTCTCTTTCTCCTCCTCCTCTGTTTTCTTTTCTTTTTGATTGTTTTCCTTTTTCTTTTTCATTTCTTATTGTTTCTTTTTTTTTTTGTTTTTGTATATCGCTTTCTCCATTCCTCCGCCCGCCTGAACTTTATTATCGCCGCGGTTGATTATCCAGGGACACCGAGGCGGATGAGCTATTCCGAGGATGTCTCAAGCGAAACAAGCATATACTCGAGGATGTCTCAAGCGAAACAAGCATATACTGAAGGATGTCTCAAGCGAAACGATACGTTTCTTAAGCGAAATAAGCAATAGTTTGACGGTGGCTCAAGCGAAATAAGCAATAGTTTGTGGATGTCTCAAGCGAAACAAGGGATTTGTCGAGGATGTCTCCAGCGAGATAAGCCATTGTTGAGGATATTTCTATGAAGACTAAACGCCAAGGATGTCTCAAAACGTGCTCGGCTTGGTCTACTCTTGATCATCTCTTACTTCGAGATTATGCTGAGGTCTGGTGGGCTACTTTGATTATCTCCCCCTGAACCCCGAACTTTATTATCCCCTAGTGTTTATTCTCGAAGGTATTCGGTTATTTCCGAGGCGGGGATTGATACGTAACCACCGCCTGGAGGATCAGTTGTCGAAGACCTCGGCAGGCAGTGGAGATGGATATCTTCGGCCCCCCTGGGCCCCAATCACATCCATATCCACCGCCCGCTTGGGTCCCAGGACGTCAGTTCCACAGGCGTTGGATATGGACAGATCCCCGCCTCGCAATATTTACCCCTGGCCCCGATCCCGACCCCCATCCCCGACAGAGATCGCTTCAGGGGAGGGCATCGTCGGACGGGGCTAGGACCAGGATCAATCCATTCCAAAGCGTTCCGGAGCGCTCTCAAAGCGTTCCAGAATGTTCTGGGAAGGCAGCAGCGCCCGAGACACCTCCATTCGCCGGAGCGCCCGAAACACCTCCATTCGCCGGATCTCAAAGGTTCTCAGGTTCTCAGAGGAGGAGGAGGAGGAGGAGGAGGAGGGAGGAGGAGGAGGAGGAGGAGGAGGAGGAGGAGGAGGAGGAGGAGGAGGAGCTCTGAGGAGGGAGGTGGAAGCCAAGATCCAATCCCGATTTATGGTTTGAGGAGGAGGCCGAGGAGGCCCACGACGGGCCCGTTGAGTTTCACAAAACCAAGTCCCATCCTAACTATGATGACTGGGACACGTATAATATTCAGCCTTGGGCCCTCTTGGCCAATTCGCTCGCCGACGAGGTGGCCAACGATGCCACCACCCACGTTCAGCTTCCTCAGACAGTGCTTGACCGCATCGATGCTGAAGACGCTGAGATGCAGCTCATCTCTAGGCGTCTCGCCACCATCCAGGTTAAATTCTGGGGTGACTTTAAGGTTCCCTCTCCTCCTCGACCCAAGCAGCCCAGGCGGGCCCGTAAGTGGGGACACGCCAAACACGTCTTGGAGGGTTGTAAAGAGGGGCTCAGGTGCAGGATTTGCTTTAGGTACCAGTTCGCGGGGCAGAAGGCCCCCTGGTTAGATAAGCCGTGCACTCAATATAAAGCTCAGGGATTTCACCACACCCACATTCCCCATCTGTACGTTTTTTTGGGGAATCGCATTTTGCTCGAGGTGTGGAGGATGGAGTAATTCGAGGTCCTTCAAATTAAAGAGCGAATGCGAGCCAGCCACCAGCACAGGACTGAGAGCTCGCAACCGTCTATTGAAAGGACTACTACCACAGGGGTTAGAAAGCTGGCCTTCGTCTCTCGCCACTCGCTCCCAAGAAGAGAGCGCGAGGGCTGTGGGAGTCCCGCCACAGCGCATCAGTAGCTAAGCTGCCAGCGGGCCCTCGGAGTGCGAGGTCTCCCCTTAATCGCTGGCAACATGGCAACATGGAGGAGGAGGAGGAGGAGGAGGAGGAGGAGGAGGAGGAGGAGGAGGAGGAGGAGGAGGAGGAGGAGGAGGAGGAGGATGAGGAGGAGGAGACGGAGGCCGAGGAGGAGGAGGAGGAGGAGGAGGAGGAGCAGGAGGAGCAGGAGGAGCAGGGAGGAGGAGGGTGGAGGGAGGAGGGAGGAGGGAGGAGGGATGAGGGAGGGAGGAGGGAGGAGGGAGGAGGGAGGAGTGGAGGAGGGAGGAGGGAGGAGGGAGGAGGGAGGAGGTTGTGCGCTCCGTAGCAATTCGGGCTCAAGCTTCGCTCTGCGTGCGCTGCACCGCCCACATAGGATTCTGCCGAGATCTGCCACCAGTGGCACCAGTCATGGAGCGCGTGGAGCTTGGGGAGGTCGGCGGCGAAGCGAGCGGGTCGGAGCAGCTCTTGGTCCAGGACGCTCGCGCCCCGCGCTCGCCCTGGCGAAGGGCGGGCGGCGCTGCCGCGGGTGCGCTGCTCCTGGCCGGCGCCGGCGGGGCGGCGGCGCATTTTGCGCTGCGCGGGGCGGCCTCGGGCGCGGGCCCCCGCCAGGGCAAGGTTCAGACGATTGGCTTTCCCGCGCGCGACCAGTGCTCGAACTGGGACGAGGACTGCTTCAGCACGGGGTGCTGCAACGTGGCGGGCCTGACCTGCTTCCAGACCAAGGCAGGCAAGGGCGAATGCCTGAAGAACTGCACGCCCAGCGATACCAAGCTCTGCAACCAGCCGCAAGAGATCATGGAGCCGGTCTTGGTGGATGCTGCAGTGTACGACCCGACGCTGTATTGCTTCGCGATAGTTATGCAGGACATCGGCAGCACGAAGAAGTACTACGATCTGGAGCTGCTCCAGGGAGCGTATGACAAGGGGATTGGCATCTTTGGTTGTGATTCCTGGGGGGTCTTCAGCGACGCAGAGGCCGATCTTGCGCCCGGCGTTCCAGTCACGAAGGTGGATGACGTCGACGGGGACTTCCACTTCGCGAAGCGGGAGGAGACTGGCACCTGGCTGAACACTGGCTTGCACTACCAGGCTTGGAAGGCAATTCAGGCAGAGGGAAAGTATGCGATTGCGAACTGGGTCGTGAAGCTCGATGCGGACGCGGTCATGATCACGAGCCGGTTGAGGTATTGGCTGTCAGACAAGTACGTCCCGCCTCAGGGCATCTACCTCGAGAATTGCCAATACGTCAAGTATGGTTGGTTCGGCAGCCTGGAGATCTTCTCGAAGGTCGCGTTCGAGACGCTCCTGGGATCGATGGCCTCTTGCAAGAACGGTGGGATCGACTGGAAGGTGGGCATAGATGGCGGCAAGTACGGGCCCATGGGCGAGGATCTGTTCGCGCAGACCTGCCTGGACGCGAACGGCGTCAAGCGCGGCATCGGGTACGGCTCCAAGCTGGACGGGACGTGCGAGGCGGACCGGCCCCTCTCTGAGAAGAAGAACAAGAAGTGGAAGCCCAATTGTGACACCGTCGCCACCACGACATACCACCCGCTGATGAAGCCGGAGGACTGGTGGGCGTGCTACGAGGCTCAGCTGGCCGCAGCAGGGGGCAGGGGGAGGGGGGAGGCCTTCTTGGAAGCACCCCTGCTTCTCAGAGGGCGCGGGCCTCCTCTGCAGATGGAGGGCCGGCGCCTTCGTAAGAAGCCGCCTCCCTCTGAGAAGCCTTCCCCCCCTCCCCCCGCCCTGCTGTGCGCGCCGCCACGAGGCCACCATGAAGGCCTTCCCGGTGTACCCGCCCCCCTGACCTCGGCGGCGGCCCCCTGGTGTGAAGCCGGGCCTGCCCCTCCACAGGAGGAGTGCTCGAAAACAGGAAAAAAAACAGTCCGGGGACGGTCTTTGGAGTTTTTTTTGGGACCCTTCTGGAGCAGTTCGCCCAGAGATCCCCCTGCAGGGGGACAGGCCCGAGCTGGCCCTCGCGGCGCCCTCGCGGCCCGCCGCCCCGCGGCGCCCGCCGCCGCGGGCCTCCCCGCGGCCGCCCGCCTGCCCGCCCGGAAGCGGGCGTGCTGCCGCGGGGTCCCGCGCTGCCCTTCGTCGGGCGGTCGCGCGCGCCTTCTTCTGTTCGCTCCCCCCCGCGGCGCGAAGGCGCCCATCGCGCGGGCGCGCGGGCGCCCGTGCGATCGGGCGAGGGGAGCCCCCGACGCCCGCCCGTCCAGCGCCGGGACGGCCGCCGCCGCGCCAAAGTCTGCACGGCGGCACGCCTACACGTGTTCTCCCCCGGCGGACGGGCCCCGATTTCTGGCCGGGGCGTCGTGCTCTGAGCCTCCTAGATGGGGTCGGAGTAGAGGGGGTCGGAGCATCGCGCCGCATCGCCGGTGCATCGGCGATGAGGCTCGATGTGGAGCTCGATTTTTCCTAACGCGGACGTCGCCGATGCATCGCCGACGTCGCCGGTCCATTGCCGGCGCATCGCCGATGCATCGCCGATGCATCGCCGATGTATCGGCGATGCGGCGCGATCCTCCGACCACATCTACTCCGACCCCATCTAGGAGGCCTCTACACGAGGTCGAGAGGTCGAGCGGTGCTTCCAAGCTCTTGGGCGAGAGGCGCAGTGGCTTGAAGCTTGAGTCTCCCTTCACCTTGGCGCCAGAGTGCGTACCCTAGGCATTTTTCCGGATGGGCTGTCAAAGACTTGGAGGTCGAATCGAGTTTGCGAGCCCCTGTGTGAGAGGCAGAGAGGCTTGAAGCCTGTTCCCCTCCATACGAGCCGTCTTGTTCATCACGAGGAATCTCTCTCCTTGAGAGCTCGTGCCGCCAATCGCAAGGCGCCCCCTTGCTAATTCGGTATGCCGGCTTCGACGCTAGTCGTTTTCAGCTCGCCTTCACCACGATGCGTTGCGCATTCGCGTCCAGTGTGCCGACCGCTGGCTGCAACGCACTCTACCATACCATTGCCGTGGTTTTGGCACCACCCAGACATGACCCATGTTGCGCGTGCGCCTACTTGCGACTGCATAGAG